GCAGAGTCCTCTCCGTCGGGTCCCATCTGTCGCCGGCTGGCGGACGGTAGAGTCCTCTCCGTCGGTCCCAGCTGTCGCCGGCTGGCGGACGGTAGAGTCCTCTCCGTCGGTCCCATCTGTCGCCGGCTGGCGGACGGTAGAGTCCTCTCCGTCGGTCCAGCTGTCGCCGGCTGGCGGACGGTAGAGTCCTCTCCGTCGGTCCCAGCTGTCGACGGCTGGCGGACGACGGAGTTCTCTCTGTTGGTCCCGTCTGTCGCCGGCTGGCGGGACGGCAGTCCTCTCCGTCGGTCCCATCTGTCGCCGGCTGGCGGACGGCAGAGTTCCTCTCCGTCGGTCCATCTGTCGCCGCCTGGGGGACGGCAGAGTCCTCTCCGTCGGTCCCATCTGTCGCCGGCTGGCGGACGGCAGAGTCCTCTCCGTCGGTCCCGTCTGTCGCCGGCTGGCGGGACGGCAGTCCTCTCCGTCGGTCCCATCTGTCGCCGCCTGGGGGACGGCAGTCCTCTCCGTCGGTTCCCATCTGTCGCCGGCTGGCGGACGGCAGAGTCCTCTCCGTCGGTCCCATCTGTCGCCGCCTGGGGGACGGCAGAGTCCTCTCCGTCGGTCCCATCTGTCGCCGGCTGGCGGACGGCAGAGTCCTCTCCGTCGGTCCCATCTGTCGCCGCCTGGGGGACGGCAGAGTCCTCTCCGTCGGTCCCATCTGTCGCCGGCTGGCGGACGGCAGAGTCCTCTCCGTCGGTTCCATCTGTCGCCGCCTGGGGGACGGCAGTCCTCTCCGTCGGTCCCATCTGTCGCCGGCTGGCGGACGGCAGAGTCCTCTCCGTCGGTCCCATCTGTCGCCGGCTGGCGGACGGCAGAGTCCTCTCCGTTGGTCCCGTCTGTCGCCGCCTGGGGGACGGCAGAGAGTCCTCTCCGTCGGTCCCATCTGTCGCCGGCTGGCGGACGGTAGAGTCCTCTCCGTCGGTCCCATCTGTCGCCGCCTGGGGGACGGCAGAGTCCTCTCCGTCGGTCCCATCTGTCGCCGGCTGGCGGACGGTAGAGTCCTCTCCGTCGGTCCCATCTGTCGCCGCCTGGGGGACGGCAGAGTCCTCTCCGTCGGTCCCATCTGTCGCCGGCTGGCGGACGGCAGAGTCCTCTCCGTTGGTCTCATCTGTCGCCGCCTGGGGGACGGCAGAGTCCTCTCCGTCGGTCCCATCTGTCGCCGGCTGGCGGACGGTAGAGTCCTCTCCGTCGGTCCCAGCTGTCGCCGGCTGGCGGACGGTAGAGTCCTCTCCGTCGGTCCCATCTGTCGCCGGCTGGCGGACGGTAGAGTCCTCTCCGTCGGTCCCAGCTGTCGCCGGCTGGCGGACGGTAGAGTCCTCTCCGTCGGTCCCAGCTGTCGCCGGCTGGCGGACGACGGAGTTCTCTCTGTTGGTCCCGTCTGTCGCCGGCTGGCGGGACGGCAGTCCTCTCCGTCGGTCCAATCTGTCGCCGGCTGGCGGACGGTAGAGTCCTCTCCGTCGGTCCCATCTGTCGCCGGCTGCGGGACGGCAGAGTCCTCTCCGTCGGTCCCATCTGTTGTCGGCTGGCGGACGGCAGAGTCCTCTCCGTCGGTCCCATCTGTCGTCGGCTGGGAGACGGCAGAGTCCTCTCCGCCGGTCCCATCTGTCGCCGGCTGCGGGACGGCAGAGTCCTCTCCGTCGGTCCCATCTGTCGTCGACTGGGAGACGGCAGAGTCCTCTCCGCCGGTCCCATCTGTCGTCGGCTGGCGGACGGAAGAGTCCTCTCCGTCGGTCCCATCTGTCGTCGGCTGGGCGACGGTAGAGTCCTCTCCGCTGGTCCCATCTGTCGCCGCCTGGGTAACGGCAGAGTCCTCTCCATCGGTCCCATCTGTCGTCGGCTGGCGGCCGGCAGAGTCCTCTCCGTCGGGGGCGACACCGTCGCGAGATCGACCCCGCCACTCTCGGGACGACGTGCACTCACTCCGGCTCGCTTCCGGTCGCGTCGGCGCCGTCCCCGCGCGTGCCTCGGTTGTCCAAGCAGGCCCATAGACGTCCGTGCGCTCGGCTGAAAGGCAGGCCGCCCCTGGAGCGATGCGAGGGCACCCGGGACTCTTCCGGAACACGACTGTTCCCGGGACTCTCCGCAGTGGCAGCGCGCCGACGGGGCGCCGAGCTGAAAGACGTGGAGGAGGCTCGAACAGCTCTGGAGAGGCCGTCGAATCGTGTCGAACGTCGCCCGCAACGTGGGGCTTGTCGGAACGCGACGACGGCTGTCAGGAGACTTCCGGGGACGTGCCCGACGCAGGGTTCGCCGCTGAAAGGCTCCACCTCGCTGGGGAGAGGCTGGGGGCGGGCTACGTATTGGACGGGCGTTGCTGTCGCGGCTGGAGGAGCACGCGGGGCTACTGCTGGCTGATGTAAGCAGGCAGACTATGATAACTTTAGGCACTGTGTTGAAAACCCCCGTCGTGCCCCATCTGCCGTTGTGGATAACAAACTAGATGGCGACGCCTGCGGCTCGGGTTTGCGGCCTCCGGCGCTGGGCCGCGCTCGCTGCGGGTCAGGATGACAGCGAACCAGCCGAACGGTCCGGTCCCGGCCCCCGACGGTCCGTCCAACCGAACGATCCTGCCGTCCGAGCCGCAGCCGGCCTCGAGAGCCTGCCGTGAGGGCAGTCCCTGTCGCGCTCCGCGAGGTCTCGGCTTCAGGCTCTCGGCTTCCGACTCCCGACTCCCGACTCCCGAATCCCGAATCCCGAATCCCGAACCCCGAATCCCGAATCCCGAATCCCGAATCCCGAATCCCGACTTCTGACTTCTGGGCTGCCGCGCTCCCGCGGGAAACGGTACGAGACGCGATCGATCGGATCGTGCCGCCGGTAACGCTACACCGGTTACCTTGCCAATTAGCGGTGTCACATCCACTGCGGTGGCAGCCGGCGACAGCAGAGCTCCCGTGGGGTCCCCGGCAACGACGGAGCTCCTTGTGGGCTCCCCAGCGACGGCGGAGCTCCTTGTGGGCTCCCCTACGACGGAGGAGCTCCCCGCGGGCGGTCCGGCGACGGCGGAACTCTCCACGGGTTCCCCGCGGGCTTCCCGGCGACGGCGGAGCTACCCGTGGGCGGTCCCGCCTCATCCCGCCAACCTCTGAGGGAGGGGGCGGGGGGAGGGACGCAACAGCAGAACGCCTGGAGCTGTTCCGGGGCAATCCGCCGGTGGATGAATTTTGTCAGTAGGCCAGAACGGAAATTTAGAGGAGGAGGGAGACTGCGAGGACTTGAGGAATATGATGACTATGAGGACATGTGGACTTTGGAACATGATGGCTTTGAGGACATGATGATTTAGCCATGAGTGAGTCATCAAAACGGCACTTTGCGCAACGGTGGTTTGGTCTAAAGGCTTAACAAATTATCTAAAAATTATATTTACTTACTGGAACTGACTGGACACCCGGAAGCGTGGAAGACTGCCATCGCTCGGTTGTCGGCGCTTCCCTTTCGGGGTGCTGACCGTGCCGCTGTTGTGCGTCAGAATGATCGTTTGGCTCGCCGTCCGCCCCGGCCGACCGCCTGTTACACGCCTCTCATGGCGTCGAGTAATGGCGCCATTCATATCGAGCCTAGTTACGCTGTCACGCCGCCCTCGCCGAATCCCGTTAGCCGTTTGCCAGAGGGCATGACAATTCCCTGTGGGTGCGAGTGGGCGCGCTCGGTGGGTGGGGGTGGGCGCGTAGGGACTGCGTTTTCCTGGAAATGGCCCTATTCTGGTGCTCCCCTTCCCCTCTCCCCTCCCCATCCCTTCTTACTGCACCAGGTTACTACGTCTGGAGATACGGGCTACGTGATAAAGGACCTGGGCGTAATGGCCGAGTGGTTAGTGTCCGGCTCTCACTTGGGAGTCCAGGCCCAAAACCCGGTTGTGCCATGACCCCTGAGCGATAATATGGCTTCTGCAGTCGATTACAAATAATGTGTAAGGATGAAAGGATGTGCAACGACATGCGTCGTTTTCCCGTTCTCAAAAAAGCGATAGTTGGGCCACTCAGGTGTTCATAAGTGCTTATGAGTCCACTCGTGTTCCTGCGCTGCGCCGCGGTGCGCACGACACTGTCCAGCGTAGCCCATTCATCCAATGGTGAAGTGTCGCCCCCTCCCCCTCCCGTGACGAATAAGTTCTTCACGGCGGACACCCCGTCCGCCTGCCCCCCCCCCCCCCCCCCCTCTCCTGTGGACGGCGTGTTTGCCTGGACCGAGGTAATCACTGCTTGCCTTGTTTGTCTACGTGCTGGTAATTGAGACCTGCTCGATGACGTGTGCCCATGTAGTCATCAGCGCTGGGCGTTGGTGACCATGCGGCTATCTTTATTGGCGATGCATGAGGTGTGCACGCATGAGGGCGATAATGAACGCCGGTTCGACGTGGTACGGGGCTTATTGGCGGCATGGCTTTGATGTGGACTGCGGCCGGCTAGGTAGGTGTAGTGGTGACTGTTACGGCAATGCGCTCTAGGTCCCGGGGCAATATCTGCCTATGCCTGTGCATTGTTATGTGTTGTTTTGTAATGTTTTGTTATTGTTTTGTAATGCAAATGCCTATGCATTGTTATGTAATGTTTCGTCTCCGTGCTGGTGCTAAGAGCACTGATATTTACAGTTGACCTTTCCTCAGATGGTTTTTTTGTTTGTTTCAAAACACATTTCCAGGTGTATTTCGAGAAAATTTTTGTTAAGGCTATTTCACACTCAGCTCATTGTCAAAGGAAAGGCAAGTTTTGATTTGTTTTGTTTACCACGGGACAAGGCGCGCTATTGTGCTCGTAGGACAAAAGTTAACGCTCGGAACATAACCTGCCAAAAGCTTTTTGCGACGTTGGTGACGTTTGCGTGTGGTGACACGGTCACTTTCTCGTGACGCGCTCCCTCCCGGGCCGAACTTGTGATGGTGACGTCACATCTGACGTCACGTGACGTCTCCCGCCGACCGGGGTTGACCGTGACCAACCGCGTGTCGCCGCCGGCAGCCTGCGACATGAACGTGCACAAGCGGTGCCAGGACAGCGTTCCCAACCTCTGCGGCTGTGATCACACGGAGCGACGGGGCCGGATAGAGCTGGGCATCACGGCCTCAGGAAACAAGCTCACCGTCGAAAGTAAGTACTCATCGGCCATCGGCTGCAGCATGTACTGATGAAGTCTTTCGTGATATGCAACAGGGCTGTGGTGAGAAGCATGGTGTTTCTTCACTCGTGCTGCTGCGGCAAGAAAGGGAAACGATAGGAACATCAGGTTTCAGTTTAGTGCCGTACCCTTTGTGGATTCTCGGAATGAACAAAATGTGACTAGAGTACATGGTCTGCTGGTTTGACTTCTTGGTGTGTCTGACCGAAATAGCGACAAATACGTACACATGTCCGAATAGAGTGTTAAGCCCAATGCGTTAACTGTACCTGGCGTCATTCCTTGCATACCTTGATGATCCAATTATTATCGCTTTAGTAAGTACTCAGCCGTGATCCGATAGTGACGTAGATGGTGCATATCAGGTTACCTACCGTCCTTGTAAACAAGACACGAACATTTTTGTCCTATCCGCTCCGGGGTGCTACGTTATGTAAGTTACGTCGTCCCTGTTATGTCCTTTGCCTCATAACATAAACTCAACACAACACGAGGTAAACCCAAGGCTTATTGCCACCAAGTGATATGTTCTACGATTTTTTGGTGTAGCATGAATATGTTAGTGTGGACCTCACCATGTGCCAAAATCTGGTTGCCTTTTTTCAAAGCCCATTAAACTGTGAAACGTTTCCTTTAAAAGGCATCCACAGTGTGAGGCCCCCTCAGCTGGTCAGAGGGGGGGGGGGGGGGATGTGCAGCTGGAGACAGTCGGGCGGCGGACCTGATTCGCTACAATCTGGCCACGACGCCTTGGCATAAGCGTATGACGCGTGGAAAACACAAAGATAGGATGGCAACAAAGAGAACGCATTTACAAGTACGATTGAGGCTTTTAGTTTGCTGTTTGACCAAAGTAAAACAATGTATATACGCTGACGAATGTAGTTGGTGTGGCACATTCCGGTATCTGTGAACAGCTTTGTTAGGTACCTTTTCTACCAGTTAGTTAAAATCAAAAGTTGCTTTTAATGCATGGTTAAAAAGCTTGTCTTGATCTATTCATAGCAAATTACAATAATACCTAGCATATTTTAAATCTTCCATGTAATGAAACCAGCTCATCCTAAATTCATCAAAAAAAGCGCCAGAAAGACGAGTCCATCCATTTTTACAACCGTTTCCTTTGCCTCTCTTGAATGGAAGTCACGAAGCGCCGCTCCTCGCTGCGGAAGATGTTGAGATATCGACACGAGCGAGTTAATAACGACAGCGTTTTCATACGTCTGCCACTTGCAACAAACTAATTTCATGTGTTTTAAGCTTATCCGCCGTCGGCTGCGACTTTTGAAATGCTGTCACTCCCAAACAGGACACGCTACAAACTTAGCTAAAAGTTTTTAATTGGAAACGGCTAACGGCCGCTTCTTTTTGTTCACGTGGGTTCTGTTTAAGTTATCAAGAGCGTCATGTGTGTCACAACTTCGCTAATGGGTTGTTCTCATTTCTGTAGCATCACTTCGGTAGTTGATCACCTTTAAAAAGAAAGATCACATATGCGCAGCACATCAGGCATGTGTGCATCATATATGCATGCATTGATCGTTGAAAATCACGGCGGTTTCGTTGTTTGCGGTCTTCAAAGATATACTTTCAATCTTGCGTATAAGTGCGTGAGGTATGCCTATTGGTGCAGAGGACTGCTACCTCACCGGTAACATTTCAGAGACGCAACACGCCACAGCTTTCGGACCTTCTCATATATTAATTTTCCTACGCCTCCGGTGTGAAGGCGTGTGATGATCCTCGCCTTCTGCGTGCAGCCTGATGGATGCGGACGAAGGAAGCCCGTGGCCCTAGTTTCAATCGTTGTAAGTTGTGAGAGTAGGGTCCTGCGGACTCAGCACCCACCGCGGCCCTTTTCCTCACAGCTATCGCAAACGGTACGAAAACACCACTGTTCCAACCACTGCTTACTAAAATTGCATGTATGCAATCTTAGTAAATCTTCTTCTTCAATCTTACCATTTACTAAAATTGCATGTATGCAATCTTAGTAAATGGTAAATGGGAGGACTGTGTTTGAGCATGTCGCGACAGCTACGGTACGTTTCGTGTCCCGGTCGATCTTGGCGCGTCAGGAAGCGATGCTGCTTGTAATTGGAAATGCTAGGTGAACTACGCAGGGTCGCTGACATTCGCTAAAGATTGCATGGAAATTCTATACAGATTATCGGCCATCGTGAAAATAGATGGGCCCCAACATGTCACGCCTAATTATTTGCGCTGACCGAACAATCTATGTAATCAATGCAGCCAGATGCCGGCTAAACGACACAAAAGAGGTTTGTCATGCGGGTATGATGAGGCCTGCGTGCTCTTGCTGTATATCAATAACAACGTCATTGTTGTTATGCCAGTCTTCTACTGGCAGAAAAGAGCGTGAAAAAGTCACATCTGTGAAAAGTCACATCTGTGAAAAGTCACATCTGAAAAGTCATCTGCGTGAAAAGTCACATCTGAAAAGTCATCTGCGTGAAAAGTCACATCTGACTTGTGAACACGACATTCCGGTATGCCGTGGTTACGGATTTTTTCGTTTGCGCTTATCATTGCTCTGTACTCTTACCCTGCTCTATATGAGCAGGGCAATACTCCATGATCTTACAGTGCCATATCTATATGACCTTACGTGGACCTTACGCCGGGATCTTACTTGGCTTCACGTCGCGTGACGCGTGAGCATGTCTCTCGTGCTGTCGCGTGACGCGTGAGCATGCATCGCGTGCTGTCGCGTGCGCCCGTGCGCCTATCGCCACCGCTAATACTAGTAACGAGCTAGTCGAACAGAAAGCTTTTGGACACGCGGGGCTTCGCGACTGCGGGAAAAAGTGGCCTTGGGATAGGAATTCGGGCAAGTAGAAAGCCCAAAGAGCGTAACATTGGTGATAAAGCAGCCGCTTGCATCGTATGCCCGAGTAAGGATGGGATCCAGAGTCAATTTAATATATCTTCTGAAAGCTGATCTCGGCTCAAGTGATCCAACCAGGGCAAAACGCGTTAGGAACAGCAACTGATCGATAAGAAACCAGGAAGGAACACGACCTTCAGCAGGGCAAAATATGGACGTTGGGCCACCGTCATCGCTTCCATTTTTGTCAACACGGAAGCGCACTTGGAGGGACACGCCACGGTGGATCAGAATCGGGATTCAAACTTCGGTACCAGAGTTCTGGCAGTCTGCACTGGACCAGTGCCGTCGATACTGCAGCGGTGTGTGGTCTGACATTATTTCTGTACAGGGACATGCTTGCGTGCATCGAATTCATCGAAATCCACTGAAGACGCTATTGCCGGTGCCCACCAGACCTCCGCCCGCAGATCCATGACTTGTAGATCGAGGCTGCACTGAAGACGCTATTGCTGGTGCCCACCAGACCTCCGCCCGCAGATCCATGACTTGTAGATCGAGGCTGCACTGAAGACGCTATTGCTGGTGCCCACCAGACCTCCGCCCGCAGATCTATGACTTGTAGATCGAGGCTGCACTGAAGACGCTATTGCTGGTGCCCACCAGACTTCCGCCCCGCAGATCTATGACTTGTAGATCGAGGCTGCACTGAAGACTCTATTGCTGGTGCCCACCAGACTTCCGCCCGCAGATCCATGACTTGTAGATCGAGGCTGCACTGAAGACGCTATTGCTGGTGCCCACCAGACTTCCGCCCGCAGATCCATGACTAGTAGATCGAGGCTGCACTGAAGACGCTATTGCTGGTGCCCACCAGACCTCCGCCCGCAGATCCATGACTTGTAGATCGAGGCTGCACTGAAGACGCTATTGCTGGTGCCCACCAGACCTCCGCCCGCAGATCCATGACTAGTAGATCGAGGCTGCACTGAAGACGCTATTGCTGGTGCCCACCAGACTTCCGCCCGCAGATCCATGACTAGTAGATCGAGGCTGCACTGAAGACGCTATTGCTGGTGCCCACCAGACCTCCGCCCGCAGATCCATGACTAGTAGATCGAGGCTGCACTGAAGACGCTATTGCTGGTGCCCACCAGACCTCCGCCCGCAGATCTATGACTTGTAGATCGAGGCTGCACTGAAGACGCTATTGCTGGTGCCCACCAGACCTCCGCCCGCAGATCCATGACTTGTAGATCGAGGCTGCACTGAAGACGCTATTGCCGGTGCCCACCAGACCTCCGCCCGCAGATCCACGGCTTGTAGATGGAGACTGATGTTTTAACGCCGGTGCCAGCCGTTTGGAATGCTCCGGATAACTACAGGCACGAGTCTGAGACCCCTCCCCCTCCCCCCTCCCCCGGTCGTCCCCGCGCGTGATGCGCCATGGCCGCCGAGTCATTACTCTCCTGTCAGTGATACCGCCACCCTCGCGCGAAACAAAATACGATACGAATCGAGCCGTGACGTCCCCGGTCGCTGCTGCCGCACTGCGTCCCTGACGCGCCGTCCCTGACACACGGCTCTACGTGCCGCGTCCGGGACACGTGTCACTGGCGCACGGTGCCACTGACGCACCGTGTCAGTGACACCACGTCTCTGATGTCGCATCACTGGCACTGTGACGCTGAGTCTCCGTGTTATTGACATAGTTATCACCGACACGCCGCGTGCCGGCCATCGTGTCACTGACACATCACGTCCGTGTAGACGCACCGCGTTTTGACACCGCGTTCCTGACGCACCTTGTCACTGACACATCCTGGCGCACAGCATCGCTGGACACTGACATGCCGTCCCCGTGACACAACGTGTCACTGACATGTCATGCCCCGACACGGCCGGTGTCCGGTCCGCAGAAGCCAGCCAGGTGTGGCACTGCCCTCCCGGCTGTGCCAGTGGCTGGCCACCCCCTCCGACGGCGTTAAAACGGGCGCTCGATGTCCGCCCACTGTGTGCGCCGCGGGAAGGGGACCGCAGGCGGCGGGGCGCGTCTTCGAAGCAAAATAGCGTGAGCGTCGCTGACCATGGACGAGCGAAGCACTGCCACGCGGCAAGCAACGC